TATATAACGCGGACTTTATTTAATACAATGCTATCTTTTCATTTCAATTCTGTTGGCAAATAGAATTGCTTCGGGACAATTTCTCGATTTGCGAGAAACCCATCAGGAACCCTCAGCGAGACGCGAGACCAACAAACCCGCGTCGACCAACAAACACAGTTTCAGGTGAAAAACTTTCTTCCCCGCGAGCGAGTTTCTTTCCCCGACCGTGGAACGAGAACGCGAGCTTGCCGACGTAACATCCCCCATCTTCCCTCCTTTTTCTCGAACTGATCAAATGTAAATACCGTTCCAAATGGGTTGTATACCGCCCGGAAAATAACCACGCGCGACGTCCACGTCGTTTAATTCGAGCGGGAGATAAACGCGAAACTTCCCGGTGAGAGGTGGGGGAGAGGGGGCTAAAGAAACTTTGTCACGTGGCTGCGTGAAAGCCCGGATTAGGAGAGGATACACAGACCAATCAACGAGGCCGAAGTTCGAGTTAGGCGAACCGGTGAACCGAAGCGAGGGCCAAGAATTTTTTTCTCCCTTCCGCAACTACCTCGACCGATCGAGGATTGGCGAACGTTCAGAACGTTTGAACAAGTTATTTGGTAGCGAGCTGGAAACGGTGAACTTGATTAGAACACGGTGGGAAGCTAGTTTAGAGATTAATCTCGGGGATGCAGGTCGCGTAATTCGACCAGGCAATTCGCGTCATTGGCCAGCGTCACTCGCTGAGCAAATTCGACCATCAGCGTCGACCATCCTGCGCGTTCGTCGGGAACACAGACGAACAGAGACGTTTCGAGTCGTCGATTGAACGAGGCACCGCCGTCGGCGATTAATCGCGCGAAAGTGCAACGTGACTGCCGGATCGCCAGCCGGGTTGTTGGTCTAGGCCTGGAGACCTAGGCGAGAAACAAAATTGGCGGCCCCGCGAAACGAACCGAGGGTTAACCGTAGACGAATAACAGGGAGCAGGCGGCTTAGCCAGCTATCTCCCGAGGCCGGCCATCGGCGGTATGCATCAGGCTCGCCACAAATCCACAAATTGCCAGCGCTGACCCTAATTAACGCATACTTCTCCCGATTTCCCGCCATCGGCTCTATCCACCATCGGTTCGCCCTTCCTTCGCTGCTCGCGCCCTTTCGCTTCATATTCCGCGGCTTCCCTAACACCCCGGAGTTCTTGCCACCACGGTGAAATTAATTCCCCGGACGCCAGCTACCGACGAGTCACTGCCACGTGCGTTCCCCGACCTTGGTTTGCGATCGGATTTTTGAAATTTCATGGAAACCCTCCTCCGCGTTTCGTTTAATCCCCATCCTTAAAATCTTGGATTTTTATCAGACGTGAAAAGGGCGTGAAAAATGGCGTCGTGTGTTGTCTGGCAATCGTCGAAGCAGCAATCTCGAGCAAAGTGGCAAAAATGTTTGGAAGTTAGTGTGTTATAATTAACTCAAGGCATTTTTTACCCGCGACCTATTTTAATAACAGCTTGACCGATTAGGTTCGCCAACCACGAAGGGATACGTTTCGATTCGAAAAACACGGAGAGACGCGGCATCTTGAGGCAGGTTTATTCTTCCGTGAGATGAACTCCGTTGTCTTCAAAAGGACTTTCCGCCTGAGCGGTATCTTAATTATCCAAACCGGGAATGTAGCCATTAATTACTCGTGGGCGAGCGAGGCGGCGTACTTTGTTAGTTCGCAGTTCCCAGTTATCGCAGTAATCGAGCAACAAAGTTAATCGGATTCTTCCAGCTACCTTGCCATCCAGGCTTCTTTCCCATCCGAGAAAAGGATTAAAGGCCAGTTAGAAATTTCGTGCCAACCTAATGAATCTACCGCGAATCCATCGTCTGTAATTTGCCACCATCTGAGAAGAATCGGTAGATTCAAACGCATGCGCGCTCGTTTCCTGCCTTTTCTTTCCGTCCTCGCGATTCAAGCAATCGCGGGCTCAAATTGGACGACGAAAGAAGGAGAGACGAAAAAAAAAA